CATACAGGGGCTTGCCCCGTGCCCAGCTATAATTTTTTGTATTTTTTAGTAAGAGATGGGGGCTTTCCCACGCAATGGGTCCTTCATACTCACCTGACGCTCGTTGATCTCACCCGGCCACGGCCTCCCCCAAAAGTGGCTGGATTAGAGGCCCGTGAGGCCCACCGCGCGGCCAGCCTACTTGCTGTATTCTTTTTTTTTTTTTTTTTTTTTTTTTTTTTTTTTTTTTTTGAAGAGCGGAATCTTCACAACGCTGTCAGGCCAAGGGGAGCTGGAGTACGTGGCCAAAAAGGATACATCAGGCACCTGCAAAGCTCCGGGCCCCACAACCGGGAGTTCACAAGCCGCATTCTCCTGCCTCCCAGCCTCCCCGAGAGTACTGGGACTACAGGCCGCCGGCCCCACATCGGGCCGCGGCTAGTTTTTGTTATTTTTTAAGTAGAGACGGTTCAACGCATGTTAGTTAGCCAGGATGGTCTCGATCTCCTGACCTCGTGATCCACCCGTCTCGGCCTCCCAAAGTGCTGGGATTACAGGCTTGAGCCACCGCGCCCGGCCCCTATTTCTGTATTCTTAATGGAGAGAGCGTTTCACCATGTTGACCAGGCTGGTCTCAAACTCCTGACCTCAAGTGATCCACCTGCCTCAGCCTCCCAAAGTGCTGGGATTACAGGGGTGAGCCACCATGCCCGGCCCCTGTATTGATTTAATCAATTTCCTTGGAATGCCCTTTGTCTAGGTTAGCTTCCCCTAAAGATATTTAAGTTTAGCCACACACAGAATTCTCACTAACAATTCTACAATGCAACCAATTTTCTGTACACGATTAACTATTTTCACTACAGAGAGTGACACAAGCAACCTACTAACTTCTAGGATAATGGATATGCCAACAATTTTGGTAAAATTATGAAAACTACATTTGTTGAAGGTTTGCAACTGTGCACCTACACAAATTGGCTCACAGAAACCCCATAAGGTAGGCCAGGCGCCGTGGCTCACGCCTGTAATCCCAGCACTTTGGAAGACCCAGGCAGGTGGATCACCTGAGGTCAGGAGTTCGAGACTAGCCTGGCCAATGTGGTGAAACCCCCGTCTCTACTAAAAATACAAAAAATTAGCCGGGCACGGTGGCAGGCGCCTGTAGTACCAGCTACTAGGGAGGCTGAGGCAGGAGAATGGCGGGAACCCGGGAGGCGGAGCTCGCAGTGAGCCGAGATCCCACCACTGCACTCCAGCCTGGGCAACAGAGGGAGACTCCGTCTCAGAAAAAAAGAAAAAAAATAAATTAGCTGGACGTGGTGACGCATGCCTGTAATCTCAGCTACTCAGGAGGCTGAGGCAGGAGAATCGCTTGAACCCAGGAGGCAGAGGTTGCAGTGAGCCGAGATCGTGCCACTGCACTCCAGCCTGGGCAACAAGAGGAAACTGTCTCAAAAAAAAAAAAAAAGAAAGAAAAAAAAAACAACGCCATAAGGTAAAGCCCGCCCCAACTCCATTTGACATAAAAGGAAAAGGAGGCCTGAAAAGGTAAAACAATCGAGGCATCAGATTCAGAAAATGACTGAGGTTCAGTTAGAGTGGCAGCGAGAGCTTGAATTTTCGAATCAGACCCATCATCCTGTCCCTACCAGCACCAAAAGTCCTTCAAATCTCTTGCTTTCCAGGCCTGGTCAGCTACCCAACTTCTTTTTCCTTCTCAACCCCCCACAAAATTATTTTATTTATTTTTTGAGATGAAGTCTCCCTCTGTCGCCCAGGCTTGAGTGCAGTGGTGCGATCTCGGCTCCCTGCAACCTCCCACTTCCCAGGATTCTCCTGCCTCAGCTTCCCCAGTAGCTGGGATTCAGGCGCCAGCCACCATGCCCGTCTAATTATTTCTGTACTTACAACAGTGTCGGGGTTTCGCCGTGGGCCAGGCTGGTCTCGAACTCCTGACCTCAGGTGATCTGCCCGTCTCGGCCTCCCAAAGTGCCGGGATTACAGGCATGAGTCACCAAGCCCAGCCTCAACAAAATTCTGATTGCATCAGCTTGACAACTTTTAGCTGGCTGTGGGTGTTTGGATCATGTGTCTACCCCCTGAACCAAGGGCTATCACTATACCACCCCCCAACCCCTCCTGCTAGATGGGCTGGGCCACTGCAGGGATGCTGGATAAACAAGCCACGCTCTGCCTTCCGGGAGTAAACCGGGGAGTCTAATGTTGCTTGGGTTTGCAGCGGAGTCTGATTTGTACTATAAAGGGGTACAAAGTTCTGAGTGCTGTTTAGGAGCAGCTTTACATTTATGTACCGCTCGACATATTACATTTTTACAGATTCCTGCAGAACTCCCGGGGAGGATTTATATTTTAAGAGAGGAGGTGGTTCTCCCACAAAACGTGGGATCGGTACCTGGTATCAAGGTTGTTTTTGTTTTCTAGGTAAAAGAAGGGAGAGTCCTAGAAAGGAAAAGAATTTCCCATCTATTTGGGACTGTAGAGATTACCTAGCCCAATCTCTTAATTTTATGGCCGAGGAAACAAGTTCCAGTGAAGCAACCGGACTTTCCCAAGGTCATAAACTAGTAAGTGGGAGGGCGGAAGCATGTACCCGGGCTCTGGCTCAGGACAGAGCCTCAGGGATGCTCCCTCCACGCTAGTGTTTATCTGGATGCGTGGGCAACCCGACACCCCGCTCTGGGGCGGCCAACCCTGCTCGGGCCATCCCTACGGCTCGGCAGGTCGCGGTCCTCGGTCCTGCCCTCAGGCGACCTCTGGGTCGCGTGGGAGCCGAAGTGCGGGCTAGGCTCTGCGTCCCTGCCCCGCGACCCTGGGCAGAGTCCCCAGAACAGAAAGGCCTGTCCCTCCCTTCCCCTCCCGCCCCGCCGCAGCCCCGCACGTGCGGCGCCTCGTGCACCTCCCTGGGCCCCGCCCCCGCCCTCCATTGGCTGTTCCCGCGCCTTCCTCCTCTGCCCCCACCCCACGCGACCAGACTCGGCTGCGGCTCCACGTGACCCACGGGGGGCGGTCACGCAGCGCGAGCAGTAGCTCGGATAGGTCCCCTTGGCCGGCCAGGCCGCTCCGAGCCCCGCCCCTCTTCGGTGGCGCGTCTGGAAGGTTGCAAGTCGGGGACAAGAGGGAGAGGCTGCGGTGGTTGCGGAGGGCAGGGGTTATGAAGAGGGCGGTGAAGGGGGAACACTCGTAGGAGGGAGGAACACTGGTAGGAGGGAAGGAACCGCGCCGAGGAAGGCCCACGACAAAGACTCCAGCAGGCTCCAACCAGGGGACACAGGGGCGGCGGGGGCGGGGCCTCCGCGGGGGTCCTCACCTGGCCCTGCACGTGTCTAGCTTATCCCGGCCGTCCGACCAATCAGGACCCGAGGAACTGCGCCTGCCCCTCTAGCAGGCTGGGCCAATCCAGAGCCACGATCCGGGGAAGCTGGTCTGGCCTCATGAATAATTAATATGCCAGAGCCGGTCCGCAGGCGGGGTAGCGATGGAGGGAGGCGGGGGCGCCGTTGGGCGCCTGCGCAGTAGCTGCCCGTGTCGGCAGCTGCAGCGGGTCGCACAGCTCCGGCCCATCTCGGGGGGCGGGCGGGGGAGGCGAGGGGCGCGAGCCGAGTCCGGGCACGATGTCCGACGCGGGCGGCGGAAAGAAGCCGCCTGTGGACCCGCAGGCAGGACCCGGTCCGGGGCCGGGGCGCGCAGCTGGGGAAAGGGGCCTGTCGGGGTCCTTCCCCCTGGTCCTGAAGAAGCTGATGGAGAACCCCCCGCGCGAGGCGCGCCTCGGTGAGGGCGGGGGGGTGGTCCGCGCGGGCTTGGGGGCGGGGCTTATACAGGGGCGGGGCCTCGTGAGGGCGGGGCCGGGGAGGCTGGGGGTCAGGAAACAGTGGTCCAGCGGTCCAGCGGTCCAGCGGAGGGGGATGGGGCCCGGATGACAAGGAGCTTGGAGGACGAGGCCACGGGGCTGGGGACAGAGGGTCAGGGGCGAGCTGAGACGGTGGGTCTGGCGGGAGAGAATGGTGGGGCGGTTTGAGGAGGCGGAAGGGGATCGGGAGCAGTCACTTAAATGACGCTCCGGGGCCCCTCCCCCGGAGCCACCTGCATCGGAGTCACTTGGGATGCCTGTTTAAAATGCCGGTTTCTGCACCCCACCCAGTCTGCGGTCACCGGGACAGGGGTCTTGCATTTTAAGGAGCACCCCACCGCACCCCTATTATTTTCTAAGTACACCAAAGTTTAGGAAGCGCAGGTCTACGGTAGCGGACTGTCATCGTACCTTACCCCTCCCGGGGGGACCTGGCTTCCTCCCTGGGTGTGAGTAGCCGCAGCTGCTAGGTCCACGCGGGAGCCATTCTGTTGAGGGGCTTCTGCTGAGCGGGTGGGGGAGGGGTGTGGGCGAGGAGTGCGGGGCGCCTTGGGAGGGGAGTTTTGGGCCAGGCAGGGAAAGGATGAGGGTCAAATGAGGCCACTGAGGCCCTTTGCCTGGTTGGTTGTGGCTGACCTTAGACTCTGGGGCCACGGCGGCAGGACTGAGCTTCATCTTTTTGCCTAGGCCACAAACATCCCTGGGGCATATGTGGAAAGCAGGTCTGGCCTTGTTTTTCACCCTGGGAGATGGGGTACAGGGAGCAGCAGGAGGGCCGCCTGTGGTGGGGTTGTGGGTGCACTGAGGTATACTTTGAGTGTGAGACCTTTGCATTTCTAAGAGCCATCAGTAATTCAGGATTTGGGAAAGGGATAGGCCTTCGAGAGTTATCTGGCCTGGGGAATGGATTTTCCTTTTCAAAATGCCGTTTCTCTTCCTTTCCTGGGTGTGTTCTGAGGCTCCCATCCCTGTGGCTGTCACTGTTGAGTTATAAATAGCTTCAGCACATCAGGTGAGGCCAGCCTCTCTCCTCCTGCTTTGGGACCTCATGTGCACAAACCCTTTTGTTTGTTTTTGAGACCATGCTTTGTTCCAAATCTGAGGCTGAGACAAGCTGCAGTGACAGGTGCACACATCTGACAGTTTCTTGTTTGAGATTACCAGGTAATAACCATCCATAACAAGAATTCTGCCCGATATTCGCAGACTGCTGGCAAAGCACGCTGACATCATCTTATTTCATTAACGGTCCTAGAGGGTATTCTCCCCACTTCCCAGATGAAGAAAATTGAGGCTCAGGGAGGTGAGGGTGCTTCCTCAAGGTCACACAGCTAGACCTTTGACATTCAGTTTGGTGCTCTTTCTACTGTATCACGCTGGCAGCCACTGTTGCATGACCTGAGTGATGGAGTAAGTCTTTTATCTCTTACAATTTAAAATTCCACTTTACAAAAACACTGATTTAAAGTAGACCTTAATTGTTTAGGCCAGGCAAAACCTGGAACTTACTGTTGCCTGTCCTTAGTATGGCTGCTTTTCTATCTCCTGCCTTCTCCTGCCTCCTTTGATCCCAAATGACCCCACCTGATATGGGTCACAGTCATTTCTGAACAGAGCGAGGAGACCAGCTCTCAGGGGAGGAGAGCAGGAAGGCCATCTGGCCCACCCAGCCCACCAAGGCTTGACTTTCTTACTTCCCAGTTGGCTTTAAACCAAAGCCTGGTATAGAAAGCAGTTGCAGGAATTCAGGTTAATTTGTATTAGAAAGCCATGACCAAGTTGTTTGTCAAAACCTCTACCTTCTTAACTCACTGGGTGTGTTCATTTGTGTTGGACCAACAAGCTACTATTTGGTCTGGGAGTCTGTGCGTGACTGGTTTATTTCCAACTTAATCATATTTGATTTCTCCTTTTCACTTATAAATCCAGAGTTCAAAATTGTCTCCCTCAATTTTGAAAACCCATCATGAGCTTGTCATGATTTTATTTCCCACTTCCCTGATTAGCCTCCCTGTCACTTTGATTTCCTTCCAACCTTGTCACATTGCTCTCTTGTCTTTTTAAAATTGCTCCCTCTTGGATATCCATACATGTAACTTTGTGACTGAGACAATTAGGCAGATCCAGTCCCCACTAATTGATTAGTTTTGCTTTGGATAGAAACAGTCTTTCTTCTTCAGCTCCACCCCTCTCCTTCCTCCCAGAAAACCTGCTTTCAGTCTTTCAACCTGCTTTCAGTCTTATTCAGGGATAAAGGTCTCTTGAAATGGTTGCTTTGAAAAGGGTCCTGAAAAGACAGCTCCAGGCCCTTTCTAATAACCTGAATCTGTTTGCAAATCCAATATTTTACATATATTTTTCTATAGTCTACCGTCTGCCTACCCTTTGGTGGACCCTTGAGATCTAGAAATAAATCAGTTCATACCCTCAGTGAGCCCACAGTAACAATGATGCCTGCAGTATGCCAGGAACACTGTAAAGACACTTTTTTTTGGTCTTTTGAGGTGGACTTTGGCTCTCGTCCAGGCTGGAGTGTAGTGGTACAGTTTTGGCTCACTGCAAACCTCTGCCTCCCCGGTTCAAGCGATTCTCCTGCCTCAGCCTCCCAAGTAGCTGGGATTACAGGCATGCACTACTATGCCTGGCTGATTGATTGTATTTTTAGTAGAGACGGGGTTTCACCATGTTGTTCAGACTGGTCTCAAACTCCTGACCTCAGGTGATTGGCCCGCATCGAACTCCCAAAATGCTAGGATTATAAGCTTGAGCCACCGCGCATGGCTGTAAAGACACATTCCAATGGTATCTCTGGCTAGGCGCAGTGGCTCACGCCTGTAATCCCAGCAGTTTGGGAGGTCGAGGCGGGTGGATCACCTGAGGTTGGGAGTTCGAGACCAGCCTGACCAACATGGAGAAACCCCATCTCTCTACTAAAGCAAAATTAGCCAGGTGTGGTAGCGCTTGCCTGTAATCTCAGCTACTTGGGAGGCTGAGGAAGAAGAATCACTTGAACCCGGGCGGCAAAGGTTGTGGTGAGCCGAGACTGCGCCATTGCACTCCAGCCTGGACAATAAGAACGAAACTCTGGGCCGGGCGCGGTGGCTCAAGCCTGTAATCCCAGCACTTTGGGAGGCCGAGGCGGGTGGATCACGAGGTCAGGAGATCGAGACTATCCTGGTTAACATGGTGAAACCCCGTCTCTACTAAAAATACAAAAAAACTAGCCGGGCGTGGTGGCGGGCGCCTGTAGTCTCAGCTACTTGGGAGGCTGAGGCGGGAGAATGGCATGAACCCGGGAGGCGGAGCTTGCAGTGAGCAGAGATCACGCCACTGCACTCCAGCCTGGGAACACAGCGAGACTCCGTCTCAAAAAAAAAAAAAAAAAAAAAAGAACGAAACTCTGTCTCGAAAAAAAAAAGTTACCTGTAATCGTCACCGAAGAAACAGCTTTATCCTTATGTACAGTGGAGGACACCAAGACTCAGAGAGGTTAAGTAATGCGGCTAAGGTCACACATCAAACAGCGAGTGGCAAAGCTGGTACTCCTCCCTGGGCTGGGTTGCTGTGGAGAAGCATAACTGGAGGGAACAGGACAGGGGAACACAAAAGTTCTTGGCCTGAAGATCTCGGCCCTTTGTAAGCTAAAGTATCCGGAAAGGTCAGAGACTCCATTTCCCTCCTTGTAGTCTCTCTCCTGCAGATGCTAATCCTACAGCCTATTCTGTTTTTGTTTTTGTTTTTTTGTGATGGAGTTTCGGTCTTTGTGGCCCAGGCTTGGGGGTGCAGTGGCGTGATCTTGGCTCACTGCAACCTCTGCCTCCCGGGTTCAAGCGATTCTCCTGTCTCAGCCTGGCCAACATGGTGAAACCCCATCTCTACTAAAATGCAAAAAATAGCTGGGCATGGTGGCACATGCCTGTAATCCCAGCTACTCGGGAGGCTGAGGCACGAGAATCGCTTGAACCGGGAGGTGGAGGTTGCAGTGAGCCGAAATTGGGCCACTGCACTCCAGCCTGGGTGATGAGCAAAACACTGTCTCAAAAAAATATAAAATAAAATAAATAATGAATTGACCCTATGACCACTTAAGGTCTCAGAGCATGTGGTGAGCCTTCTGGGAAGGCCATGCATGGATGAGGATGGGATGCCATGTCTAAAGGAAAATAGCCGGGCCTGGTTC